TTCTTCAAACGTTCTCCACATACGTCCGTCAGATACATCGCGCACTACCCCTCTCTCTTTTGATCTCTCAAACGACTGTTACAAGTTCGGAGAATCCTGGTCAAAGTTGAAACGTCTTAAGACTATTCCCTACTATTCTGTAACATGCACATTGTACCTAAAATGGGTAGAGCTTCCGTTCGGGGGAATATCAGAAGGACAGCGATACACTTGTCTCCAATGTTGTAGAAGACACTCCACTTACTTAGGAAAACAATAACCCAATGAGATATTGCATTCATGTCGGATTCAATTTTTTTGGCCCCTATCAGATGTGAACTTGAACATGCAAGGTCTGCGTTGTTTAGCAGCACTGGGGCGTAATAGTCATATAGGCCTGCTCCAAACAACGGAATATATATCTTTTGAGAAGGACTTCTCGGACGGGTTAAGGTACAGCAATGCAACATTACGAAAAATCTTTTTTTTCACTGTTTTTCATTTCATGTCTCACAGAATATATAATTTGATGGTCGAGAGGTTTTAATATCGTTCTAACTTAGTCGAATTAAGTCAAAATGAGTTGAAATTTGTGTCATGATGCTTATAAACATACACTCATTCATTTACAACCTCCAAAACATGAATTCTGAGCGAAATTAAACATTCTCGCCAATGGGCCAACATATTTTTCGCCCATGGGCGAGATTTTTTAATATCGCCCTAAGTTAGTCGAATTAAGTCAAAATGAGTTGAATTTTGTGTCCTGGTGCTTATAAACATACACTCATTCATTTACAACCTCCAAAACATGAATTCTGAGTAAACTTAAACAAATTTCGCCCGAGCGAGTTTAAATCTAAAGTTTTCGCAAAAACTTTTTCATTTTTTCATCCTTGGCATATATTCATAACAACTGCATGTTTAATTTGGTCAAATCACTTGTCAGAAAGTACCCTCAGTGCGGAGAGTTTCTGGACTTTTGTGAGTCCAGAATTAAATTGTGACGTGTTAATGACATTTGTTATACTGTTAACACAGCATGGCTAAGAGGTGGCAAAGTCTTGCCGCCATCAGTAACATTTGAAACAGATACAAAATATTCATTTAATGTTTGAGCTTTTTCCTAATCTGTAAAAACTGAAGGTATCCAAGAATCATCAGTGACAAGAAGGGGAGTGGGCACCGATGAAGTACTAACCACCTGATTGAGTAGACTGAGGTGATAAATAGTTATCAAAATTAGAATAAAAGTTTCCCTTGGCTATTCTTTTCAGATTATTTACTTTATTCCTTTGGTTTTTGTATTTTAATAGCTCAGAAGTATTCAGAGATCGAAATGCTTTTTTCCTTAGACGTTCTCATTTCTTTTAAGTATGTTACGAGGGGCGTTGAAAAAGTAGTCAAACTAACTATATTCTCGTTGCCCAATGTTTGAAAAGAAGCTTCCATTTTATTTTGAAGGAATCATTAGCAAAGTCATATCCAAAATTTCATGTGGGTAATGTGGTTAACGAGATATTAGTCATCACAACATTTGGGTATTATGTTTCTTGCTAATTTTCAGAAAATGGAAAACGATCTCCCATTTGGTATCTAGTAATAGTAATAGTCCGCTTATATGGCGCTCACATCCAGGCACATTGCCTGCTCACGGCGCTACGTACATTACTATCCCCGATCATAGGACACTACCGTAGTTGCCGATACTTTTTCAAATCCCTGGGGACTGTACAGCCATGCTGCATGTTAGGCGCAATGAACTAAACACTCACATTGCCAGCACATACTCACGGGTACCCATTTTACAGCTGGGTGAACTGAGACAGTGTAGATCTAAGTATCATGTCCAAGGATACTACGCAAATGTGCCCATCTCGGGAACCGAACCTCGGTGCCTCCTCGAAACAGGGCCTTCAGCGTGATAGGCAGACGCCTTACAACTGCACTTTTGCGCTATCTCTTGGATAATGGTATACCCTCAGATAGTATCATATAAAATATGTTCAGCATTGTATTGGATGACTTCCCGTCATCATCAACATTCAAAGATTTGGATTGCTTGATTTACATTTAGACGGGGACTGTTGTTATTAGGACACCATCATTTTAAATTTTCAAAAACATTGTGTCCAGATATACAACATATTGAGAGCTGACACTGGTGTGACCATTCAGTATTTAGTTTGAACCCTTGACACCATGTATGAATAAGTGAAAACTTTAGGACGAGTTATATCCTTATGATTACGTCAACTGAAAGGGGATGGGTACTGTCTCCAAAACAAGCCCTTTCAGTAACATGAAGGGGGAGTCACTTGAATAAGCGATTATAGTTTAAAATTGCTTGTTTGTGCAGTTTAATATCTATGTTTGACTTTTACCAACATACAACATGTTTTTTGCATATTTTGTTTCAATTGGTGTAGGGGGATTCCCGCCAATACAACTTGATATAAAATTGGATCAAAATCTATTAATTCTTTCCTAAGTTCGCGGCTACCAAGCTTGGCATGTGCAAAACTATTACACCTTCGCTGTGACCTTTAAAATGACCTCAAGGTCACTAAATTCAAGTGGTGTCGGTGAATCTTGCCAATATACCTTGGTACCAAATTTGAACAAAATCCATCATTTCTTTCTTGAGTTATCGCCCTAACAAGCTTTTTTGGTGTATGAAATGCAACGAAAAACAAACACCCGCGTATTTACGAGTGATTAAAACTGTTATTACAATTTACGTAAATATTTATTACATTTTACCGCAACGAAAGTTATTACAATTTACGTCAATTTTTATTACAATTTGCGTATTACAATTTACGTCAATTTTTATTACAATTTACGTTTTTATTACAATTTACGTCAAGTTTATTACAATTCGCTGCAAGTATTACAATTTGCGTTTTTATTACAATTTACGTCGTAACAGACCGTAGCCTCTAAACAAAGCGCTATTCACAGTTCACGGATGGGCTACGAGACTATCATATGAATCATGTCAACCATTGTTTAAGCTTAGCTGTGTATACACTATGTCAATTAGATGACGTAAACATGTCATTTGACTAGATAAGACAAATGTTCTACGGTATCTAGTATGTAAGCGATACTCATGATTTTACTTTGAAAATCACAGTCACTGTGGGAAGACTGAAAGTAGTTTGGGCTTAAAAATATGCAATGGGGTCACTACATTGTTTCAACCTTCGCCCTGCGAAGTGACAGTTTACTGACCTACTTTCTGAAATGCAAACTGTAAGCGTTGGAATTAATTCTAACTATAGTCCGTTTGGTTCAAAAGCGGACCGATGAATTGCAATCGAACTCGAAAACTAATAAACATAAAATACTCAATGAAACACTGATCATAATCTAAACCTCAGACCAACTCTGTGAGGTTTTTGCAGAATTTATGTCCTAAAAATACAAAAGTTGTTTAACAAACTATCATTAAAATATCGACACAATTCACTATTTGTTACGAGGGACGAGTGCAGAGAAAGGGACAGCCAGGTGTGCGAGAAAGGATGGAGACGGCACAGCACAAGTTACTGAATCAATAACGTTGTCGGCACTTGCTTCTCTAACACCTGGCTGTCCCTTTCTCTGCACTCCTCCCTCGTAACAAATGGTGAACTGTGTCAAAAATTTAATGATAGTTTGTTTAACAACTTTTTTAATTTTAGAACATAAATTCTGCAAACAAATCACAGAGTTGGTCGGATGTTTTGATTATGATCAGCGTTTCATTGAGTGGGGAATCGAACCCGGGTCTTCAGCGTGACGAGAGAACGCTTTAGCCACTAGGCTACCCCCACCGTTCCTTAACACATCAAAACTGGTCGGCTGTTACAATGTGGCATAGAGCTATGCAGATGTAGCTGGTTGGTTGTTGTTTAACGCCGATGTGTGAAGCCCATTTCTGGTGTCCCCCTCCATGATGTTGCTGGAATATTGCTAAAAGCGGCGTAAAACCAAACTCAGTCAGTCAGTCAGTGTTTAACGCCGCACTCAGCAATATTACAGCTATATGGCGACCGACTGCAAACAGTCGAGTCTGGATCAAACAATCCAGTGATGAACACCACGTGCATCGATGTACACAATTGGGATATGATGACCCAATCTCATTAGTATGGTGGCTGATTTCGCTTTCTCGTCTCGTGATATCGTTTTCTCGCCTCCGAATTATAAGGCGAGAAAGCGATGGCCAACTCACTCACTTCTGGACATTCAATTATTTTCTGTTGCAGGACACATCGCGCCTATCGGATACATATGGAATCCTGGAAGGGACATTGTCGCGTTGTCGCATTGTCGCGTTGTCGCCCTCTCAAATACAAGCAAAATTAAACAAAACGCGACACGCAACATCGCGACAACGCGACATTTCGCCCATTTGTCGCATTGTCGCGATGTCGCGTGTCGCGTTTGAATAATATATTTTTCATTCCTCCAAGGGCGACACGCGACATAGCGACAATTTTCAAGGTCAAAATATGTCGCGTTGTCGCGCGTCGCCCTATGTAAGATGTGTAAAACAGCCTAAAATTTATTAAAACGCGACACGCGACAATGCGACAACGCGACATTTTGATGAAATGTCGCGTTGTCGCATTGTCGTGTCGCGCTTTGTTAAAATCTTGAGTATAGTATGTATTATAACATATGACTAAAATGCGACACGCGACAATGCGACATATTATATGTCGCATTGTCGCATTTTGGTTTATTTTGCCTCACTTTACTTGTTTTTGACAACGCGATAATGCGACATAGCGACAATGTCCCTTACAGTATTCCATAGAAACAAGCAATCGGCCCCTCCACCCCGACCACCCCCGCAACAGCCACCTCCACGGCAACCACCTGGTTTGTGAATATTCCATCAGTAATAGACTATTACAAGTTTTCTGATATATGCGCAAATGGTGGTTTTCCTAGGAGGTGAGAAAGTAACATTTATCTATCTTTCAGCTCCTCGTTCTTAAACCCGGCGGAGTTGACGGCTTTCCGACGTTTTAACAATGTACATGTCGCCATGGAGACACACGACTTCCTCATGTAGGCTTAAGCATTAACATGTCAGAATTTACTTTGCTGAAAACATTAAATGAATTCAGATTGAACATGTGTCGGTCTTGTATTTGTTTTTTTTCAGAATGAATGAATAAATATTATTTTACGCCGCATAAGCAGTTTTCTAGCTATTCGCGGCGTTGTTGTATCAGAACACAAATGAATACTATATACATACATGTACCTATGTTGATACAATTGCTATAAGGGGTAAGTTTCATTTAACCCTCATATTAGCAATTAACACTTAACACTTACTGAAGTTGTCTTGGCTGGGCTGTGCAAATGGGTCACAAAAACATCAACAATTTGGCTATTTTCTCTGGACATGTGACCATCCCTTTCTGAGCAATGGCTCGGTCCTACGGGAAAAATAACAACTTGATTGCCTATACCCCCTCTCCAGAATGGACAAGTCCAGGTAACAGACTTGTTGTTTGATATGTTTTAGTGATGTTGTTGTTTGTTTGTTGTTTAATGCCGCACTCAGCATTATTCCAGACATATAGCGGGGGTTTGTAAATAATCGAGTCTGGACCAGACACTGGATCCAGTGATCAACATCATAAGCATCGATCCACGTAACTGGAGTGACTGTAATTAATTCCCGTGAGTTGAATATCACTTGATGCCGCAGCCTCGTTCCCTTGGTATGGTCACACTCGGTGGCGGGCACAGAGAAAGCCACTCCTCCGCGGGTCTGGTGGACAGGGGCCAGTCCCTCCTCTCTCAGCCGCTGAAGAATCTCGTCCCCTGACAGACGGGACGTGGACGGTGTCACCTGGCTCTTGGCGTAGTAGAGTTCGTGAGGGCAGTTGATCTTGCCCGTCAGAGCTCCCCCGGGGAATGTTTGCTTTGATGGTGTAACCTTAGCTTGCTTACATCCCATTTTAGACGATAGTTATTGAGGCTGTTGTACATGTGGATTGTTTCCATGATCTTCGTGCAGGGTAGAACAGTCCCTTCTACCGTATTTGACATCTCCAGGCTGCCTCCCACCTCCCCTGATCTCGGGCTGCTTATGTTTCTTTTTGTCTTTTTTAGGCGTTGAACCGGGGATTTGAGCCTTCATTTGACGTGATTTTCGGTGAGCCGTTTGCACCGTCGACCTCACTCCGCCATAGACCACGTGACCCCTAAGAAAAGAGGACTTTTGCCCGTCTTATGGAATTTACAAAGTATCGGGATACAAATACTTAGGCATAATGTTAGACCCTAATGACTTTGTTTGTTTTCATGATAATGTTGAAATTTCACTAGAAAATCTAAAGAAGAGATTTGAAATCTGGAAGTCAAGAAATTTGACAATTTATGGTAGACTCCTATTAAGTAAATCAGAAGGCATTTCAAGGCTTGTTCATCAGGCAAGCTGTATATCATTCCACCCAAAAGTTGTCAAGTCTGTTAACAGAGAGCTAATTTTTTTTTGTCTGAGAAGGTTTCAAGAAATCGTCTCACACAAGGGTATGAAAATGGGGGCATTAAAGCTTTAGATTTTGTTTTATTTAATAAAGCACTTAAACTAGTATGGCTTTCTAAATATTTCAAGGATAAGAAATTTTGGAGCTATCAAGTTCAACCAATATTTGAAACTGTAGGATCCCTTGAGCTTTTATTAAACTGCAACTTTGACTTACACAAATTGAATTTAAACATCCCACTTTTTTATAAGGATATCTTGAATATCTGGAAATTCCATTTTTTACAAAGATGTTGACATCTTTTATCAAATTATTTGGAACAATAAAAATGTGCTTATAAACAGAAAAAGCTTATATGACTCAGATTGGAAAGAAGCAGGTATTATTTGAGTTTGGCAATTACTGAAAAAAAATGGAAATTTCCTGCAAAGACAAACATTAGCTAGGATGTATGGACTAGAAATTTCCCAAAGAAAATACAGATTGTATACAAATGCCATAAAAAGAGCAATTGGTCAAAATGTTTATTTTAAATATATGACTTGTTCTTTTCCAAGTGATGTTTGCCCAGATATAAACGGTGTAAACGTTGCTGATATTCCTGATAATGCCAAGTCCTGGTACAACTTAATGCATAATATTTGTTGTGTGACAGAAGAGGATACTTGTACAAGAATCAGAATTAGAAAATAAATACAAACAATTACAGTTTAAAGTTCTTCACTCAATTTTGCCTTGAACAAGTAAACTGTGTGAACACTGTGGCAATGCTGACACTGTCAGACATTATATGGTTTATTGCTCTCGTGTTTGGCCATTCTGGATTTCCTATTTTAAATGGGCAAAAGCAAATATTCAAGATAACGTATATCCAAATGACAGAGATGTTGTATTATATGGCCTTCATGGAGACTCTGAAGACTGTAAATTATTTAACTATGTATTGATGTTTGCTAAATTTATAGTGTATCGAGTTACTGGAAGTGATTGTAATTTTGACACTTTCATAAAGATCTAAAATTACATTATAAAATACTGAAACATACCAGAAAAAATGTAAGTGAGAAAGTGAAATCCTTGTGTGCATAGTGTTTAACACTTATGACTAATCATCTTTTAACCCCTACACCCTGGTATGTCCATCCACGTGACACTGTACAGGGGCTGTAAAATCGTGGAATTGTACTAGTAATAAATGATGCTGAAATTTGATTTAAAAAATAAAATAAAAAGCTTGTTTCCATGCGCATATGGGCAACAATACCGTGACCTTAGAAAGACATGACGTCAGTGATCAGCGCTTGTGGTGTATTGGACCTACTACCAACGGATATAAAAATGAGAGAGAGATGTAGAATATTAAATTTGCTATCTTATAGAGTAAATCAACTGCAAATTCTAGGACAGTTTGAAAAAAAAAGCCTTTTGTTCAAAATTATGTCGTGCCTTAAAAAGCCGTAGATCTATACAGTATTTTGTATCATAATCCTATTAACCCCCTAGATGGCAGAGGGACATCCTCCTCATCCTTCTCCTTCGAATGAAGTCGAATAAAATTCGAACTACATCACGCACACAAATATAGTTCCAGGTTTTGAATTTCGCGATTCTGTCGAATCGAAGCATTATACCCGAACCACCGTCTGGCTGTGCTGGTGTAGCATTATACCAGAATCACCGTCTGGCTGTGTTGGTGTAGCATTATACCCGAACCACGGTCTGGCTGTGTTGGTGTAGCATTATACCCGAACCACGGTCTGGCTGTGCTGGTGTAGCATTATACCCGAACCTCGGCTTGGCTGTGCTGGTGTAGCATTATACCCGAACCACAGTCTGGCTGTGCTGGTGTAGCATTATACCCGAACCACGGTCTGGCTGTGCTGGTGTAGCATTATACCAGAACCACGGTCTAACTGTACTGGTGTTGCAAGGCCGAAGTGTGTTTTTACTCTAGAAGTGAAATCTGTTCAATGATAACTTATTCAGTTACTTATTAAGGAATTGTTTTAATTCTCCATTTTATTCATCTGTCTTCTGATTCATCGAAATAAAGATACTAAAAATATTTTATTAATGCTTTCATCAAAATACACCAACACTTTGGCCTTTCACATTATCCGAATTGCAACCTTAATCTAAGAAGTGAGGCCCACATGAGGATGTCTGCATGGCCCTCTTAAGTTCTGACATTTATTTTGTTGAGAAGAAGTCTTCGGAAAATTGCTGACTCAGCTTGGTCATTTGTAAGCAGGTCTGTTAACTGGAGCTGAAATGGAAAATAATAATATAATTCTCACACCTGAAAAAAAACCCTGATATCTAGATTTCCCATTAAAGTCATGACAGTTATGATGAGGGAAATATTCACCTACGTTTTGGTTTTGGATCCGACGGGCGTGGACTTGGACGATGAATAGGGCGAGATGGACTGGATGGTAGTCTTCGAAATTCTGTAACAGAAATTTGTGATTGTGCATGGACAGGTTCATATATGATTTATGCTGTAAAGTATTGTTTTGTATGATTTCCTTTCTGAAAATATTGGTCGAAAATGGTCAGTTGTCGAAAATATATACAATAAAAAACCGCATAGACCTTATGTATTTTTAAATTAGTTACCTTTTGTGTTCAAACAATCGTCCAAATTTGTAACAAAAGTGCTGATAACATGATTTTACACAATTCCACATGTAAAAAATCGACTTTACCAGAAAATGTTGATTTCGATGAGATTTCTTACAAGGATTGAAAAAAAAAAAACCAACGCCATAACGCAACTGTTAATGTGGCAGTAACAAATTTTGTTTATTTTAGCAGTTTGTATATTAATTAGAATTCATGTAAATAAATAATTCAAATTTCATTGCACAGTTTTAGTCATCTTATTTTGTCATATTACACAGCCTGCCTTTGATTACCTGTCACTCACAGCCAGTTCACTGAGTATGCTTACCGTATGTTCACCACACAACACAATAACCTGAGCCCTTCCCGACTTAAACCCTTTTGTCTTTTATACATTACAAGGTTTGTGGTCACTCCACATTCAATCGTCAGATGGATAACATTTCATGCGGATTTTCTTGACAGATCTTTGGATCGCATTCTGAGGTAATTTGGATATTTTATCTACTTATTGTTCATGTAATATCAGTTGGATATAACTTGTAGTTGTTTCAGTGTGTGTTGTCTCAAATGCATAGATCTTATTGGTTCAAATAGCCCAATAAATACTTTACATTCACTATAATGTATCCCATGAACTTGAACCATGGCCAGCATCTTCCTTACGATGGGTATATAGACGTTGAAGTACAAGGCGTAGGTGCAACCTCAGCTAAATTGCCTTGTATTATGCTAGTTGTTCCTGATACCCCGTATAACACCACAGTCCCAGTGCTGCTATGCACAAATATTTTATCTTGCTACATGGCTGAATGCAAGAATCAGTATGGAAGCCGATTTCTTCAAAAGGCTGATATCCATACACCGTGGTATATGGCATTTCGCAATATGCACTTACAAGAGAGGGAACTGGCAAGGCAAAACTACTCGTTCGGTAAGGTTCGCATGTTTTACCATTTCACCTAACACTGAAAGAAATATACAGGGATACTTGTGCAAGCCTATAGTCTACAAAGACACCTGTGCTTTTGTACAACCGACCAAGAACTCCGCAATCCCACCTGATCTAGACATTGCTCCAACCATTGGCAATTTCCATCATCACGACGAGATCATAGTTCAAGTTCATGTGTCCAATGTTACCACAAGAACTGTATCTATTCCAACAAGAGCCCTGTTATGTGAGCTTCAAGCTGTCTCCATGAAAGATCTCCCAGCCAAAACATGTCCCCAGGATGAAGATCAACAGGCAATTGATTTCAATGAGGCTGAAGTCACGCCTGAACAAGTCAGACTTGGAAAGGAAACCATTTCACAGTTTCTTGGTGTATTTTCTACGGGCGAACAGGACATTGGACATGTGACAACAGTGAAACATAGGGATTGACCTTGAAGATGACCGACCTTTCAAACAGAGGCACAGAAGGATTCCACCCACCATGTACCAAGAAGTGAAGGAACATCTTCAACAACTTCTTACAAGTTGAGTCATCCGTCATTCCTTCTCACCTTGGTCATCTAATGTTGTATTCGTGCGCAAGAAAAGCGGAAAATTACGCATGTGCGTGGACTTCCGACAGCTTAACCAACAGACTATAAAGGACTCCTACGCTCTGCCACGTATAAAAGAGATGTTTGACGCCCTTGCAGGATCCAAATTCTACAGCACTTTGGACATGAAAAGCAGATATCATCAAGTGGAGATTGAGGAGTGCCACAAGGAGAGAAGAACTTTCACCGTTGGTCCATTAGGTTTTCTCGTATGCCATTTGGACTTTGTGATAGCCCAGCAACATATCAGAGGCTCATGGCTGAGTGTTTCGATGGACTCCACCTCAAAATATGTCTGATTTATCTGGACGATATCATTGTGTTCTCCACAACATATGAAGAACATCTGGAACGTCTTCAGCAGATCCTTCAAAGAGTCAGGGACACTGGAATGAAGCTTACCCCAGACAAGTGCTCCTTCTTCAAGACAAAGATCAAATTTCTTGGACATGTCGTCTCAGAGCATGGTATAGAAGCTGATCCAGATAAGGAGCAATGGATCAAGCATTGGCCTATTCCTAGAAATCCTGAGGAAGTTCGAAATTTTCCTGCATTTACAGGATATTTCCATAAGTTTGTACGAGACTTTGTGAAAATTGCCAAACCAGTGACCTCCTTAATGCCCGGGACAAGACCCAAGAAGCGTGGTAATACAAGAACTGCAGATGCTTATAAACCTTTCTGTGGGGACCGTCTCAACAATCAGCTTTCTGTGAGCTCAAGGATCTTCTCACTTCGCCACCTGTCCTCGGATATCCTGACTACAGCAAGCCATTCGAGGTGCACACTGATGCCAGCACCTGCGGCCTCGGTCCAGTTCTGTACCAAGAACAGGAAGGAGTTAAAAGAGTCATTAGCTATGCAAGTAGAGGACTTAGCAAGTCTGAGGGTAACTATTCAGCTCAGCGCCTTGAGTTTCTAGCACTCAAGTGGGCGGTGACTGAAAAGTTCCATGATTATCTGTATGGTGATAGCTTTACTGTCTACACAGATAATAACCCTCTTACTTACGTACTCACCACAACCAAACCAGATGCCACAGGACACCGATGGCTGGCAGCCCTTGCTGCAGACAACTTCGATATTGTCTACAGGCCAGGCCTCAATAATGCTGATGCGGATGGACTTTCCGGGAATAGAAGATGACCATCAACAGTCCCAGATGTCAGCTGAGTCAGGTAGAGTAGTATGCAATACTCTGCAAGATCACACAGCTATACAGTCATTAATCTTCTCCATATCACCAGAGGTCACAGATATGGATCCACCTGGACAGCATCTTACAGCAATGACACATCGAGACTGGCTCAGTCTTCAGATGACATTTTGTGACTATGGATAGCACTTGTTAAAGCAAGGAAGAAACCATGACGACAGGATTATCCACCATGTCAAGCTAATACTGCTTTTTATCGGCACTTTGACAGCTTGACATTACAGAGCGGAGTACTGTACAGAAAGGTTATACTGGAAGGACAACAGAGACAACAGCTGGTATTGCCTTCTGCCTTCATAGATGATGCATTGAGAGGATTGCACGATGATGTTGGACATCTTGGGAGAGATCGCACATTATCGCTCCTACATGACCGTTTCTTCTGGCCAGGAATGTACAGGGATGTGGAGGAGTACATTCAAAGATGTGGCCGATGTTTACGCAGGAAGTCCCCTTCCAATGTTCGTGCACCTCTGATTAAAATAACTACCACCCAGCCCTTGGACTTAGTTTGTCTTGACTTTTTGTCACTAGAAGCTTCGAAAGGAGGTCATCAGTATGTGCATGTCATAACTGACCATTTTACAAGATATGCACAAGCGATTCCAACACGCAACATGACTGCAAAAACAACAGCAGAAGTGTTCTTTAGAAACTTCATTCTACACTATGGCATTCCCAAACGTATACACAGTGACCAGGGAGCTACTTTTGAGAGCCGTCTGATGAAGGAACTATGCATCATCTTGGGGATGGAGAAAAGCAGGACAACTCTGTATCATCCTCTGCATCATCAAGGAATGGTTGAGCGTTTCAACAGGACACTTCTCAGCATGCTCGGAACTCTACAGCCTGATAAGACGATAGACTGGAAGAGCTACGTTGCTCCCCTTGTCCACTCGTATATCAGTACCAGACATGAATCCACTAACCTATCTCCATTTTACTTGATGTTTGGTTGAGAGCCTCGCCTGCAAAAATTGATCTGGCTTTCGGCATTGAAACCAACAAGGGACTTGAATCAGTTTAATCATACGGAGATTCGAAAGAAACTTCAAGAGGCTTATGAGCTAGCAGCCAGAGCATCAGAGACAGCCAAAGATAGACGGAAGATTGTTATGACTTAAAGTGCGTGGCGTGACTGTTCAGACTGGCGACAGGGTGTTAGTAAAGGCACTTGCCTTTGATCGAAAACACAAGTTGGCAGATCTCTGGGAAGAGGATCCGTTTGTTGTTCTCTCACAGCCAAACCAGGATATCCCTGTGTTTGTTGTGCAGAGAGTAACGGGGAAAGGGAGAAAGAGGACCCTCTATCGGAATCACCTCTTGTCTATAGGATCCGTTCCCATATCTGAGGCACTATCTATACCAAAGCCAGCACCTGCACCAAGATCCAGGAAACTCGCCAAACCAGACACCGAATCATCATACTCAATGGAATCAGAAGACCCTCAGGACAATGAGTCAGAAGAAGATCTGTTTATAATTCAAGCAGTTCCTGATAAAGACACTTTCATCAGTGGGAGTATTGTGGATAAGGATACATCTATCTCACAGACAAGTGGTGACGACCAGGTGTCTGCTGAGACAGATGGTAATGCTTCTGGTGGTGACGGCCACGTGCAGACTGATACTGAAAACTGCACAGAAGCAGAACCTGAAGAACCATCAAAGCACGAAAACTCAATTGGAAGGGAATCTCCTCCTGTAACTCCTGTAGTTGTCTCAAGACCAACACCTCTTCCATGACGCTCTGGACGCCAAACTAACAAACCGACATGGCAGACGTCGGGGGAATATGTGATGTGCCAGGAGAGTCAACGCATAGAACAGCTAGTTGCTACCGGCGTCATTGGTCACATCAGCAGCGGCATTTCCAAAGCACTTCTTTCGCCCATTGACGAACCCCAAGAATGACGTGGACGTCATTTTCCACAGGAGGGAAGTATGTTGCAGTAACAGATTTTGTGTATTTTAGCAGTTTGTATATTAATTAGAATTCATGTAAATAAATAATTCAAATTTCATAGCACAGTTTTAGTCATCTTATTTTGTCAT